CTTAACCCTAGATGATATCATTTAATTTATATGAATGTTTAACGGAATAATATACAGCCTAAGTCCACCCTGAAGTTCCATTCTAAATATTGGTGAAAGAATTTTTGAAATCGGATGAGTAGTTTCGGAGATTACCCGCTACATACAAACTTACAAACATTACCTCTATAATATTAGTATAGATATAGATTATCTATTTAAATAACATTCAAACTTCACAATTAAACATAAAAATTCATTAATAAAATAAGAAACATTTAAAAATTCATAGAAAAAACAAAAAAATTATTCGAAAATAATTTAATGAGATTTCTGCTGCTGAATAGCCTCAACTAATTTGTTAATTCTTGGTTCAATTGTTTGTGATACTATCCGCATGCAGGCATCTAATCGCAATCGATTGCGGTTTTTTGTTTTTATATCCACCATAGTTGAGAACCCCTTTTCACACAAATATATATAAATTTTGCATAATTTGGCGGCCCCCGGTAAACTTCTTAGGGACCTCCAGGGGACCGCGGCCCCCTGTTAAGAAACACTGCACTAGTGCGTGTACGGATTATTTTGTAAAAGAACTGGTTTCAGTGCACAGCGTTCAGAAAAATAAACCAGGGCCGTGTTCAGTAACGCAGAATTCTTGTTAAGTCTAGTTATGCTGCAATGTTGAACTCGTTTCTAACTACTGCTTGACTCCTCCCACCACTAGCTTCTTTTATGTATTCTTAGCTCCGCCCACTAAGCCACTCATTCTAACTTAGGTGTTCTGTGTTACTTAACACGGTCCTGCACTAAGCGCACTATGTTAAGACTTAATTTTCCATCAGTGGAACAACATGGCTGCTGTCACGTGTTACCAGTTTTGCTATGAAAAGTAAGAATTTTTTCTTGAGTGCAGAATTATATTAGACAACTGAAAACGATACGAATGTTATATAAATAATTTTATATGATATCGGCGAATATTAGCGAGACTTGCAATTTTTACTTTTCTGACATTTGAAAGCCCCATTAATCCGTTCAGTTTTTTTTTTGCTACATTGTCATATTCTGTGCACTGAAAAAACTGGTACTGATACCTAAGTTTATTTACTGAATTTGTTTAAGTGCGCTAAAACAATTTAAATTAACTTTAAATATAATCTACAAAATTTTCAACAAATAATTAAATAAAAAGAATTTGTAACAGAAAAGCCGAGATGCATATTTATTGCTATGACTCACATAGAATGTACGAATTATTAATGTTTCGAAATAATGATGCAGACGAAAATTTTACGAATAGAATCATCAATCAGGATTTGGAATCGATTCAAAGTTTCTTAGAGGCCAATACTGTATTTCACTAAAAGAAAAAAATTGATGCACTATTTTAAAATGATTTTGGTATTAAATAGAATATAAATTCAAAAGATTAATCTTCAAAAATAGCAGATGAAATCATTCCGTTCAAATTCTCATGTAATAAGTTTTCATATCTCTCGAATGATGCACGATCACACAATTTCTCTGAAGTCGTGAGATTATTTCATGGTTAAAGTGATACGTGAAAATTATTACACATACTCGTGAGGTTGAAGATCTTTTAGATTTTAATCATTTTAAATCTCATTTAAAAAAAACTATAATATACAAATAATAAATATATATTTCATCTTTCGTTGTTTTTTTTTCTTCCTGTATTTTAAATGGATAGTTCCATCAGCCTGAGAGAAATGATTTTTTGTTCTTTCAAACATGTTGGTGTAAAACAAATATCTCAAGTCAGTTGTATATCAAAAGACTTTATTGAAAGTTTGAATTGTTTATTTTTACTTTTCCGGCTGTTTTATATAACAGAGAAAGTTGGTCATTTTTTTGGACCGATTACCAAAGATTTTTACATTTTTGAACTGGGTCTCTTGAAACATCGAGAAATGAAAAAAAAAAAAAAGTTGGTTTGTTTTTTCGGTGTGGATATTTATGTTTGTGAGTCACGATTTGTTCACCCACTTTGAAACTTAATAACTCCTGTGCTTTTTGTGGAAAATTTCTGAAATTTTGCAGGTAGATTTGTGTTCTAGGGGGACTGATACTGGAACTGTCAGTTTTTTATCCACACATTCAGGTGTACCCAACGATCTAGAATATACTATCAATACATAGACTGACTGTAGTGACGCCATATTTAAAGAAAATTGAATACACGTCCGCCGTTTTGATTTTTAGTCAAGGGGACATGGCATTTGTGTTGTTAACACAACACAACGAGCTAGAATATTCTAAATTGTGTAAAAGTGTGCAAAGGAAAGGAAGAGTTNTGATTTTTAGTCAAGGGGACATGGCATTTGTGTTGTTAACACAACACAACGAGCTAGAATATTCTAAATTGTGTAAAAGTGTGCAAAGGAAAGGAAGAGTTAAGGCAACGAGCTAGAATATTCTAAATTGTGTAAAAGTGTGCAAAGGAAAGGAAGAGTTTTAACCCCCAACTGAGATGGTTCCAGTCAAAATGGTCCAGCTTAGGTTTTTTTATGTTGAAAGTAAATAACAAGACATTTCTTTCTTTAGCCCTTTATTTAAACATTTCTAAACAAAACAAAATATTTTGTAGAAATAAGTTAAATGCATTTCTAAAACATTCTTAATTTTATTTTCCCAGTTGTTATATATACATAACGAGTAAAGTATTTGAATCGCGACAAATTTTACCTTCAGAATGTTTTGCAAATCTCCACGTTTTCAGACCTCTCGAACCCAAAAAAGTCCGAAAAAAGGGAAAAAATGTTCCATATCTGTGTGTATGTGTTAGCGTCTATAAGAAACGAAATTTGGCATAACTTGTGTATAAGGAGCATTGCTACTCACTATTATTTAATAGCATCATTACTCCTTAATATTAAAGGTATGGGAGATAGAGGGTTAACTCTTTCCGCCCCGTGGGCACTAAGAGGGCCTCTTTTTGCAAGCCCATTATGGGTTCGGCCAGGCCCACAATGGGGCTGCCAGGTGTGAGGGACGGGGCCCGACATATCCGAGCGGATTTAGTTGATAACCAATTGAAGATAATGTAAAATCGCGCGCAAAATTTATCTTTTGATGGAATTTATCATTGTTATGAGAACTCCGTTGCAATTTTGAAACTTATTTTGAATATTTGAATTTATTGATAAAATGATTTGAGAGACTGAAAGTTGTTGAAAGCTTTTTAACATTTTTTTTTTTTAGTTTCTTGATCTATAATAACTACAATTTTGTATTATTTATACAAAAGTGGAAAAGATAATAAGGTATATTCTAAAAACAATTTGTTCGGAAAATAAAGTTTGCTGTTACTTCTATAAGTTCTGTTTCAAAAATTTTATTATGAATATTTCTTTATATTTTCTCAAATACTATCTGATTAGAGATACTGTAGTGATTCATTTCCTCCAAGCGTTATCAATGAAAAGGAAATAAAACTATGTTAAATGAACGTTAACAGTTGTTAAATGGTTTCATATTTGAAGCTAAAATTCATTACAGTCGTGAAAAATTAAAATTTAGATGAAATAAAAACGTAAAAACCTGAACTATTTGCTGCTTTCTAAGATTCTCTCTTTGCTCATTACACATATATATAAATATAACCGCTAAAGTGTAAAAATTGTCAAAGACAATTTTAATCCATACATCGAGTTATAAGTATTAGCGACATAACATCTAAACGTTTTTTAGTATTCAGAAAACTTTTAAACAAATTATCATCGTAATGTAGATGAATTAATGTTGATTCACTGTTTATTTACACTACATTTTCTCAACAGACACATAGAATGGAATTATCAAACAACATAATAGATATGTATAGAAACGACAGTGGAAATTGCCAGACATGAATTTCTGGAGTTGCGGGGAACGTAGTTTAGAACTTTTCTGACATTTTTAAAGCTCAGGAATAAAATAAAACTGTTGACTGACTTTTCTAGGCTGCATGTGAAAATTAATTAATAAAATTGATTTCATGTAACAAAGATTAATTTTCATGTCTTTGCTCATCTTTTAATATAATTATTTTAGAAATTTATTTAAAAATTAATAATAACAAAAATTACTATACACATTATTTTAAATTATACATATTTTAATTAAAAATAATTCTTACATAAAATTCCAATGACAAATTCAAAAAAGAATAATATCTTAGTACTATTACATTCATTTATAACAATAACTAATACCACATAAGTCATGATTACAATCATAATGCAAAATATTTACATTTGAGAGAAGGGTTCAAATTTAATGCAGTATTTATAAGACCATATACGTCATTATCATCCCTAATTTTCATTGGTTTACTTTGTTTATGCGAGATATCAGTGCAATTTAATCAGGACTTTTCCATGAAGTTGGCAGGCATGAATGGTAATGAGATCGATAATGGTTAAAACCCGGAATTGCCATAAAGATTAAGATTCGAAAGGAATTCCAACCCGGTTTATTTCGCATTATAAATTGAACTTTCTTTCCTCACTTGTATCAATATAAAATTTCAACAAGGTATGCATAAAATCACGCATCATGGGTAAATTGTAATGCAATGAGATTTTCTATTTCAAGACAATGTCGACACAAGAGAAATACGCTACTCATTACATGAATACATATTTCGAGGTACAGTTTTCTGAATAACTTGGATTTGCAGAATGGTCCGAGCATTGTTTTAATCTCACAATGCTGGAAATTGAGATCACTTAAAGGATCTCATTTATGAACATCATTTACTCATTTAAAGTCTAGAATCACAGACATGTCAAGCCACGACCCAAGTGATCTTGCAAGATGCGTAAAGAAATTGAATCATCTGCCAGAAATTGCACGAACATATCATTTGAATAATTGGGAGGTGACTAGTGGAAAACATTTATCCTACGATCTGTACTTAATTATACAATGATTACTATAAAGAATGGCAATTCGAGAATCATAAATCATTAGAACAACTTGAAATCGTTATTGATACGTCAATAAAAACAACAATTTCAATCGTTTAATGTTTTTCTGCAGAAACTTAAATAATGCCACCAATAATAGGAAGAGAAGAATAAAAAAGCCGTTGGAAATAAGATTCGAGAATAATAATCAGGAGCATTCAAGGTGGTTTGAATCTTGAAAATTTTCCAAATACCACAAAGTTTTCCTTTCACTTTTTCAATTTTCTCTTTAGAATTTTTACGTTTCTCAGCCCACTTTCCATTTTTCTTACCTGGACGTGGGGAATTACACTGAAAATAATTTTTTAACAAAATTAATTCATATATTTTAAATTAATATGCATTTAGAGTGGCCCAAAAGTCAATTTCCGTGATATGTCACTTTTATAAATGGCTGGATAGCTTATTTAAATCCTGTTTATAACGACTTTATTTAATGCTACTGAATAACTAATATATCCAGGTTAATAATTTATTTAGTTCCGTACATGAATTAAAAAATTAAGATCTAAAAGTTTATTCTAAATTATATAGTTATATTAGTCACGAAAATACTAGAATATTGCAATTTTATGAAAAGAAGATACATCATCCTGTCAGGGCCCAAGTGCGTATCAAGGATCTGAACTAGAGGGAGGAGAACTCATATTAGTTTTGAAGAAGTAAGGACAGAGAGTGGAACATGTCGATTTCCTACAAAATAAAAGTCAAAACTATTGAAAAATGGTTTTATTATTTATTAACATACTAATGCTACATTATATCATTTTGTATAAGGAACTACTATCTACCATGTAGTGAACTGAATTAGAATTTTATGTTAAATTAACAATAATCTTCTTGGATTTACCATCTTAGGGTGTTCACAAAATTTTGATGCACGCTCATCAGTCATAAGCCATCAGTTTTACCTCTCCCAGAGTGCTCCTAAGCCAGGTCTTCACTCTTTGAAGCATACTACTACTAAAGGTAGAGTTACTTGGCTGTTCTATGGGATTTATCCAGTGAGTTAAAAGATAGAAGAGGGAGGTAAGGTACTGGTAGGTGATGAACGAATGCGGTAGGGGAGGTTGATGGAATGGGTATGGATATAGTGAAAGTTAAGGAGTAGTTTGGGATCCCAAACCTGACACGTATCGTAATTAGTTACAAATTACAGCTGTACAAGGTATTAATTACAGCGTGCCCTTTCGGTAAGATGAGTGCAATCGATGATGCAAAACATTACGCGCCAGTATATAACTACAGACTGAAAATGACACTACACAATTTGCAGCAACCTTAAAGCATTAATACAATTGGCGTGTTTACAGTAGGTATTCCCGGTGATATCAGTCCTCCAATACTGACACATTTAGAACTATCATCTATGGGACAGAAGCAGATTACAAACCGAGCCTTGGCGTTCCCTGGAGTTAGGACGATCATGAGAATTTTCTAGAGACTTCGAAGCACACTGAAGGATGTGAAGTGCATTTAGTAGTGCTTAGAATTGTCAATAATTGCCAATGTTTTGCACATGGCAGGAAAAAAAATATTAATTTTCGTTAAACAGGTCACTTTTTAACTTCTATATCCGTTAATTTGTCTTTTGGTAAGTCAGTTCTTTTATACTAGAAGTGAATGAGGTAGAAAGCCTAGAACTATCTCGTGTATTACGCGTCGCTACTAGAAGCTACTAGAACCAGGTTTATAAACATGTTTATAGACATTGCTAAAATATTTCAAAAATTAACAAATGTAAGTCAAAGTTCGGTTTCTCTACTACTTTTTTGCTGAACGATTAGTGCAAAAATTTAGTGTTTGCTCCTGTAATTGTGCAAATTATGCAAATTGAGTTTTAATCATTCAAAGTTATTAAATGTAATCGTTTGCTTTTTATTTTAGTGTAAATAAATACTATAAATATATTGAATAAAATTTTAACTTTTAACAAATTGTGGTCTATATTGTTTCCAAGAGAGTTGTCTGGAGATGCTGTCCTTAAAAATATTCACAGACAGCTAAGAGGAATAATTGCCCTTTCAGCCTTTCTATTATGCATTCTTAAAAGCAATTTATTTCACCTTATAAGATTGCTTTATTTTTTTCGTATTTCTTCGTTGCTGATAAAACAAAAACATTTCTGTAAGTCCGCGTGTGACAAAATAAGTCTTCTATTTTTTCTTTAAGATTTATGCATTGTATTATTTGGAAGACTTCATGCTTTATAGTGTAGCCAACTTAAAGATCAATTTTTGAGAGCTTTTGTTTATAAAGCTGTAGGGATTATTTTCATGCCTTCTCTTTATATTTTTGTATATTTATTTATTTCTCTTCATACCAACGCCTGAGGCCATTTATTCTAATAGACTCTTCTGTTAGGAAACACCTAACCTAACAGAAATCGATCAATAAGTAATTTACAGTATTATGCTAACAGATGGCGCTAAACGTACCAATCCGATTTGAAAATTATATCAGGTTGAGAATCCATTGATTATTTCTGCAACGTTTTCATGTATTGCACATAAAAATATATTCTGTGTTAAAAAACTTTTAATATAATTTAAATTGAAACAAGGATATGGAATATACTTAATTATTCAATTGCACAAATAGTATTTTAAATGTATAATTTTGCCAGGTATCATGAAAAGGATCATACAATTAAAACCAACAATCATTCTTAAAATTTCTATTTTTCGCATATTCATACACTCACGCACGCACGTAAACACATATTTGCTGCCGAGATTTTCTCATCACTTCAAACAATCCTAGAAAATTCTTTTCCTTTCCCATCTCTTATAACACAGGAAGAGTATGGCGATCGATTAAAAAGTCACACTCAATATTTTTACATTTTTGTACTCGGTAATCTGGAAACGTCGAGAAATGCAGAAAAATTTCTGGGATTTTTTCTGTGTTTAAAAGTTGGTATGTTTGTTGGGGCACAATTTACTTGATTTTTCTATACAGCTCGCGCATTACAGTAGTTTTTATCAGCCGTTTAAACATTCCGGCAATATTTTATATGAATACGCATTTTAAGAGTCTGATGATTACGAGTTTTCCGATTTACTTCTGGACTGCTGCACAATTTATGCGATCTGACTGAAACAATGGATAGCGATTATAGATCTTGTGGCTACGCATCCTACCTTTTAGACCTTCTGGTAACATTACGCTTTCGATTTATCATAATTCTCTTTCACTTTTATGCGCTTTAAATTACTTTGATTAAAATTAAATTTATTTTATTTACAAATCTAAATCACAATTTTATTTTTCAGTTTATAGCCCGAATTTAGTCCCTACTCAGGCAGACTGCAAGGCTCAAACTCAGTCACTCTCAGACTCGAAAGATACAGGCCTGGTTTTCCTCCCTCCTCTCAGCCTTGACCGTAACTGAAAACATCTTCACAGTAAATAATCCATCCATCAGTTATTTATTTTGTCTGTTTTCGCATCGTTACTTTAAAGGATGGGAAGGGGTTGCAGTGTTTCTAAAGCTCTTTGCAGTTTAAATATGAATTTGAAATCTACAATTTACCAAACTAGTAAGATCGCGACAAATAGCACAGGCATTATTATTTTACCTCATTAATAGTAGGGCACAATGAGGACATACATTAGTCTGGAATTTCTACACTACTGTCAATAATTTGTGCCCAATTCCATAATCATTTTGATATACTTCGAAAACAATCAATACATTTAAACTTACTTTTTCTTTAAATTCCACGGAGTGGTGAGCAAATGCGTATTCTATCAACGAAGCTGTGACGAAAAACATACAAGCGAACAACCAAATATCCACAGCTTTTACATAGTCCACTGGCGGAGTGTACGATCTAGACTGCAGCATTTGAGTGATGATGGTAAGAAGTGAGGTAACACCGAGTGTAACACGAGCGGGAACTGCATTCACATCTAACCAGAATGATAGCCAGGACAGAATTACTACTACAGTACTTGGCAAATAAACGTTGAGTACACTACCAGTTAATCGCCGAATGAATATAAATTTCGCATACAGATAACTGTAATTACCTGTAAACAAAAAGAATTATCTCTATAAAACTAATAATAATACAGTTTTATAAGTAATTTGTAACAAAACTTTCCAGTCGGCCAAACTTCGATTTTAGTACGAGGTTTGGGTACCATCATCTCGTGTTTCAATGGCTGTATGTCTTCCAATATATAAATACTCGGTCCCAAGTACTTACATGGACTATCGTCAACATCACACCATTCCAGGAGTACCTTTTCCGCTGTATTTTTTACTAAAAAATTGCATAATAGAGAGTAAATACCTTCAATACAGAACACAAATATGGAATTTTAAAAGTAAAATTTTATACTACAAATACATTATTATACTTATTTAGCTACATAATAGTTTACTGCGAGAAAAATTCTACTAAAAAATATTAAATTTGTTGACTTGATAAGTTTAAATATATAAATTCAAAATTATAATAAAATGTACAACTGAATTAAATTCATAACAATAACAGAATATAATACAGAAAATTTAGTATACATAAGCTTAGTTGTTTTAAAAATAATACTTGACTTTCTCATATCTTCAACTGAAATTTATAAAAATAAATTCAGGAATGAAAGTTGCAGGTTGAATGCAAGACATCTTCACACTGTACAATAAAATGGATTCCTGTTGTTTAGGGCAACATTAATGTTTATGTGTTAATCTCGAAAAATGTATGATTAACACGTAAATATTATACTATTAATGGACTCAAAAATATATAGTTTTTTATAATAAATACTTTGTAATTATTTAGCTTTAATGTATACTAATATAATAAATAGGTAATGTTTGTATGTTAGTTTGTATGAAGCAGGTAATCTCCAAAACTACTCATCCGATTTTAAAAATTCTTTCACCAATATTTAGAATGGAACCTCAGGGTGGACATAGGCTGTCGAATACATGTCGAAATTACCTTATTCGGAAGAGAGGGACAGGATTAAGGCTTACTGTGAAAAACTTGGCTTCTATTATACTATTTTAGATGCGGGTTTTTGCGTTTTTTATTGCGTTTTAATAGAGTACGTCAACAGAATGTACAGTAAGAAGGGATTTTTCGATATTCCCCCCGCGGGGGAGTGGGACAGGATTAAGGCTTACTGTGAAAAACTTGGCTTATATTATACTATTTTAGATGCGGGTTTTTGCGTTTTTTATTGAGTTTTAATAGGGTACGTCAAGAGAATGTACACTAAGAAGAAATTTTTCGAAAAATTTTTTTCCAGGGGAGAAGTGTTATACATTTATAATAGATACATTTTGAGCCACAACAAGGCGTGGCGGGGTCTGCTAGCAGCAAATAAAGGAATAGTACTGCTCGTATAATATATGCTTTTTTATATTTTTTAAAATACAGGTATACATCGCCTTACGTCGGTAATTGGTTCCAGGAAAACGACGTAAGTCGAAAAACGACGTAAGTCGAATTTACTTGTCTCCGAATTTATATATCACTAGGCTAAACCGTAAATTACCATTCCCGGTTCTGTATTTTATTTATTAAGGCATTTTTAATAATATATGGTTAATAAAAATCTATTTTAAGCTTACAAACAAATAAATTTTAGTTTTTAATATAGTACAAAAAAAAGTAATCTAAATTTACGAATGCATGTACTGTAAATACAGTACATACTTGTATATATTTTAATATGATTTTATGTGCTTTAAACGTTTTTCTAGTGATATTACGACTTCAATATTTGTGGCGGACAGACGTAAAGTCGAATAAAATGACTTAAACTTGATTTTTATTTTTCCATATACTTTTTTAACAAGCGACGTATAATCGGGAACGACGTAACTCGAAACGACGTAAGTCGAGGTATGCCTGTATTTGTGGCCGACCTTTATATAACTTATTTTATTGTTACTTGTCTACATTATCATGATTTATAGTAAATACACGTTAAATTAATTATTAAATTTACTTACACAAACCAATTTTAAATACGCAATCTTGAACATCAAGAGGATAACGATGTAAATCCATAGGGCATGCCACACGAAAGCTATATCTATTCGAAGAAAAATTACGTATTTATCATTTTGAATAATAAAATTTATTACTTCTTTTAGTTGAAGCTTCTTCAAAAACATCGAAAACGTTCTACTTTTTGAAACAAATTGTACTCCATTTATCAATTTTCATATCTCAAGACTTTATCTTAGGTGTAGAATCATAAATGAATGACGACGAAAAAAGAAAATGTCGTATTCAGAAATTCAAAATAAATAAAACTTAATGATTTGATCTAATTTTAAAATATAAATAGGGCCTGTATTTTGTCATTATTACATTTCCGCTGTTATATTTAACAGAGGGAAAGTATAGCGCTCGGTCGAAACTGATCATTGAACAGTTTTTATTTTGTTTAATTATTAATAGAAAAGATTTTTATAAAATATCAAATAAGATGGCGCCACAGCAGTTTAAATGTACTGTAGGAAAAGTTAATCAACTCGTTGCTGGATGTTATTATTATTATTAAAGTCTGACAGAAGACCCCTGTTTTCTGTCATAACTCCAGCTAACAATAAAGAATAAATTCTTACATGTTACCTTAAAATTGCTTTTTTTCTAAACTACTTCTATATAAATAATAATTAATAATTAATAATAAATAATAATAATAAATAAGGATGCTGATAAATAATTTTATCTGCATCCTTAAACAATAATTAAAGTTCTTATTTATAGTATAATTTAATAGCCTAAGTTTAACTGTTTTTAACTGGCAAGCAGGCAAGTAACCAAACCACGAAGCAGGCTATGCTCTTGGATTGCTTATTTACCTGCAGTGTCTTAACTAGTTTTTCAGGTGTTCCTGCGCGAAATTTTAGTTTTTGCCTTCTTTTCTTTTCGCACCTACCAAGTTACGGTTGCGCATTCGTGTGCTACGTATAATCACATCTTTCATTTCAATCTTACCTTGCGGTTTTTCGAAGAATGCGATCCTTAGTTATTAAAATGAAAGTATTCGGAATGGAATGTTGGAAAAGATGACCCCATTTAGTGTTGTCAAACATCAAATCCGGAACCCACAGAGTGTCATCTGCGGAAGGAGGAAGTATTTTTGACAGTGTTAAATTAAGAACTTCAAGTTTCAATCTAGGATCTGTCCAGTACGCATTCAAATAGAAGAACATACGAAAGTCCTAAAAATTAAGAAGTATTTCTATCTATTGTTATGCTAATATTAATGGTAGAACGCAACAGCAATGACGTGACATTTACCATTGTCTGCTCTCGTATTTCATCCACATCCAGGACTTCCAAATTGATATAAACAGTAACAGGTTTACCTTAAAGTAAATACATTAATTTAAATTATGTTAATATCATTTATAAATTGGCGTACAATTCACAAAAATGATAATAAAAATGTTCTCAAATTTATTGCAAATTAAATTATATTACGTGGGCCTTAAAATTATCTTCGACGTGCTGCTTTGACACAGTGAATGAAACCACTCAACACGCGGTTGGTCGCGGGTTCGCTCCTTAACTATGGGCTGACAATATGAATAATCTCCAGGTTTTCTTGGCGCGTCTAATACCTAAATACATAGTTCTATCGAAAGGGTCACTTTTCGCAGATTGCCCATGTATTAATTTGCCATATCCTATCAAATCATTCATCTCCATGGATTTTCAAATGGAGAAGATACCAGCTACATCCAAATACTATATATTCTAATACACGAAATGCCAATTTTGGCAATGTACTAGTGTATAAAAAGTTCCCATGTTTGATATTAGGTTCCCGTCGATTAATTGTCACCTATAGATTAATATATTAAAAATAATATTAACATGTAAAATAATAAAAACATAACATGCTATTCCGCGTCCTTAGTTGGCAGGACAAGAGCTATTCGCATTGCATGTCTTTGATGTTGAGATGTTTCGTGTATTAGCATATATAGTACTTGTTACATCACTCCTACCCCGTCAATTTCCGGTCGAACTCCACATAATAGATTTTCCATCTTCAATGTTGAGTGACCTGATTATATGCAATTTGTAAATTTACATATAATATTGTAAGTCGTGTTTAAACTTTTATTTCAATAATATCATAGTAATATACTAAATTGTGACATTTTGTCATGCAATGGTATCATTTAGTACTGAATTTGTATTTAATCAATATTTGATAATGCCTTTCAAGCTGATAGAAGTAAACATAGAAATCATAACATTCCCATCGTTTAAAAAAGCGAAAAAACTATTTATAAAGCTTGGTATTATAAATCATTATATAAAATCATACCGATTATTATGAAGCAAGTTGCACGCCAGTAATATTTAATAGTTTGTTTGAGTTTGATGGAACACATCAACGCAACACATGGGCATATGCTAAAAAGAGTGCTTCCTGTGAGGAAATTCTATGGGAAACTGATCGCTATTTTTAACTGCGCGGCGTGAAGAAAATCCGGAAAAATCCACGTGACAGCTCGTTGTTCAATAAAGAACCTATGAGTAGTCCAGCTTCACCATTGGTGGACACATTTTAATGGTTCCGATTTATGCTTATAACTTTGATGTTTTATATTATCGTGCAATTGTTAAGAAACAGGCCCGATATGTCGCAGAGACAAGACCCGACACATCCCAGATACGTAGGGCTCTACAATCTGTAATATGTCGTGATCCCGTCTTATGTAGGGTGGGCTACTTTCTTGGAGCATTAAAATTTCTCTCTTGCAACAAGACCAAGTGTAAAAAACTCGATTTCAACATCTGTTCAGTGTTTGTAGCAATTAAAAGATGACAATTGTAAATATTTTCTTACCATCAACAAGTGGAGGCGCGTGATTATCATAATCAGTAGGTATTATATTCATCCAACTGCGATCCAGTTCGACACTAAAATGAAAATAAAATTAATTAGTTACCGTAATTTTGAATATTTATAGAGCTTAGAACAACATATAACTATTATTCCATTCCAATCGATTTAGTTCAGGGGTCGGCAACCTGCGGCTCTTTGCATGTAAAGCTGCGGCTCTTTAGTTCCATACGCAAATATTATTTATTTTATCAAAAAAAAAATTTAAAAATCGTTCTGAATCGATTAACGAGGATTAGGCACTGATTCTATCTCTCAGCCACTTGTACTCGCTTTTCACCGCACCCCTCCCCCGTGACACGCGTCGTCGGAAGCTCTCGAATGACGAAGTCGTCGAATGTTTCTATTATCTAATTTGTTGTGAAAAACACTACTTATATAGTAACCAATTATTTATTAAACAATAGATTACACATTCATTTCTTACAACGGACAACAGAAGAAAGCAGTCTTTAAACATCTTAAGTTTACTTCGACAATTTAATAAACTAATTTATTATTTTCGTTATTAATAATAGAATTTTAAAATAGTTTAATAAAAGGTTTTACTTTCGACCCAAGTGGGTTAAACACAAAACGACGCAAAGCAGCAGCACAATTCTCATCACTATCAAATGCCACCAAGTCGCTCAGGCTTACCAGCGGGCATTGTGACTTTTATTGCACGTTTATTATTAATCAAAACTAAAAAAAACACGAAAAGTACTTACGCAATAAATTACGCTCACTTTGGACAGTCACGCATAAATCAAAATTAAATGTTTTGCTTCGTTATTGATTAGTTTTTAACCCTTCCATCCCGTGTGGGCACTAAAGGGAAGATCTAGTAAGTGATGTACACATGTAGGGACTTGTTGCGACCCTAAGCTAGAACATATAATAGGCTTTATTCCTATACCAAACAAAGATACACGTAAAAGTCTGCGGCCATAACGAGAGGCCCAAACTTTAGCTTATGTTCAAACGTGGCCATGCTGTAACTGTGCGTCGAAACTGATTTCTCTATTTTAATTGTCTGTATTAAATTTAAATGATATTTGTTCTGTTTTCCGTGTATACTATTGGCTACCAACAGCTGTTCTTAAGGACATTTAGCTCTGTACACTGAAATGCGGCACTTCATTCGTTTGCGATTTTTGGGAGAAAGGAAATAAAGTTTTATACTAAAATTTCGTACAAATGTATCTTATAAAATGGTGAATTATAAATTACTTTAATTATTTGTGGAAGTTTTCCCTGTAAACCTTCTTCTGTCAGGATGTTAGGTTAGTGAGGTTCGAGCTTAGCATATAAGTAATACCATAACGAACGAATATAAAAACGATTACAAAATAACGTGATATATTTTAGTATTTAAGGAGTGACTAATACATGTGTCTAGAAACCCACTCCCCCTCAGGCATTGTTAGAAATTACCCGCAAACATCAACCAAGAACTGTTTTCAAGGACAAGTGACTGTTTGTAGTGTACTGCAGTGTGCGCTATCTAGTTGCAAGTTTGTATTATATGAATAATAAAATGTATTTAAATAATACGTAATAAAATAAATAAAATTTATACTAAAGTTTTTATTAATTTATTTTATTATTGTTTTCTATATTTAGTACATATAAAATCAAACGTAAATGTACTGTTATTGTTAAATGTCTACTTTTGATAAATAATTTTATCTGCATCCTTAAACAATAATTAAAGTTCTTATTNTAATGCGACTGAATAACTAATATATCCAGGTTAATAATTTATTTAGTTCCGTACATGAATTAAAAAATTAAGATATAAAAGTTTATTCTAAATTATATAGTTATATTAGTCACGAAAATACTAGAATATTGCAATTTTATGAAAAGAAGATACATCATCCTGTCAGGGCCCAAGTGCGTATCAAGGATCTGAACTAGAGGGAGGAGAACTCATATTAGTTTTGAAGAAGTAAGGACAGAGAGTGGAACATGTCGATTTCCTACAAAATAAAAGTCAAAACTATTGAAAAATGGTTTTATTATTTATTAACATACTAATGCTACATTATATCATTTTGTATAAGGAACTACTATCTACCATGTAGTGAACTGAATTAGAATTTTATGTTAAATTAACAATAATCTTCTTGGATTTACCATCTTAGGGTGTTCACAAAATTTTGATGCACGCTCATCAGTCATAAGCCATCAGTTTTACCTCTCCCAGAGTGCTCCTAAGCCAGGTCTTCACTCTTTGAAGCATACTACTACTAAAGGTAGAGTTACTTGGCTGTTCTATGGGATTTATCCAGTGAGTTAAAAGATAGAAGAGGGAGGTAAGGTACTGGTAGGTGATGAACGAATGCGGTAGGGGAGGTTGATGGAATGGGTATGGATATAGTGAAAGTTAAGGAGTAGTTTGGGATCCCAAACCTGACACGTATCGTAATTAGTTACAAATTACAGCTGTACAAGGTATTAATTACAGCGTGCCCTTTCGGTAAGATGAGTGCAATCGATGATGCAAAACATTACGCGCCAGTATATAACTACAGACTGAAAATGACACTACACAATTTGCAGCAACCTTAAAGCATTAATACAATTGGCGTGTTTACAGTAGGTATTCCCGGTGATATCAGTCCTCCAATACTGACACATTTAGAACTATCATCTATGGGACAGAAGCAGATTACAAACCGAGCCTTGGCGTTCCCTGGAGTTAGGACGATCATGAGAATTTTCTAGAGACTTCGAAGCACACTGAAGGATGTGAAGTGCATTTAGTAGTGCTTAGAATTGTCAATAATTGCCAATGTTTTGCACATGGCAGGAAAAAAAATATTAATTTTCGTTAAACAGGTCACTTTTTAACTTCTATATCCGTTAATTTGTCTTTTGGTAAGTCAGTTCTTTTATACTAGAAGTGAATGAGGTAGAAAGCCTAGAACTATCTCGTGTATTACGCGTCGCTACTAGAAGCTACTAGAACCAGGTTTATAAACATGTTTATAGACATTGCTAAAATATTTCAAAAATTAACAAATGTAAGTCAAAGTTCGGTTTCTCTACTACTTTTTTGCTGAACGATTAGTGCAAAAATTTAGTGTTTGCTCCTGTAATTGTGCAAATTATGCAAATTGAGTTTTAATCATTCAAAGTTATTAAATGTAATCGTTTGCTTTTTATTTTAGTGTAAATAAATACTATAAATATATTGAATAAAATTTTAACTTTTAACAAATTGTGGTCTATATTGTTTCCAAGAGAGTTGTCTGGAGATGCTGTCCTTAAAAATATTCACAGACAGCTAAGAGGAATAATTGCCCTTTCAGCCTTTCTATTATGCATTCTTAAAAGCAATTTATTTCACCTTATAAGATTGCTTTATTTTTTTCGTATTTCTTCGTTGCTGATAAAACAAAAACATTTCTGTAAGTCCGCGTGTGACAAAATAAGTCTTCTATTTTTTCTTTAAGATTTATGCATTGTATTATTTGGAAGACTTCATGCTTTATAGTGTAGCCAACTTAAAGATCAATTTTTGAGAGCTTTTGTTTATAAAGCTGTAGGGATTATTTTCATGCCTTCTCTTTATATTTTTGTATATTTATTTATTTCTCTTCATACCAACGCCTGAGGCCATTTATTCTAATAGACTCTTCTGTTAGGAAACACCTAACCTAACAGAAATCGATCAATAAGTAATTTACAGTATTATGCTAACAGATGGCGCTAAACGTACCAATCCGATTTGAAAATTATATCAGGTTGAGAATCCATTGATTATTTCTGCAACGTTTTCATGTATTGCACATAAAAATATATTCTGTGTTAAAAAACTTTTAATATAATTTAAATTGAAACAAGGATATGGAATATACTTAATTATTCAATTGCACAAATAGTATTTTAAATGTATAATTTTGCCAGGTATCATGAAAAGGATCATACAATTAAAACCAACAATCATTCTTAAAATTTCTATTTTTCGCATATTCATACACTCACGCACGCACGTAAACACATATTTGCTGCCGAGATTTTCTCATCACTTCAAACAATCCTAGAAAATTCTTTTCCTTTCCCATCTCTTATAACACAGGAAGAGTATGGCGATCGATTAAAAAGTCACACTCAATATTTTTACATTTTTGTACTCGGTAATCTGGAAACGTCGAGAAATGCAGAAAAATTTCTGGGATTTTTTCTGTGTTTAAAAGTTGGTATGTTTGTTGGGGCACAATTTACTTGATTTTTCTATACAGCTCGCGCATTACAGTAGTTTTTATCAGCCGTTTAAACATTCCGGCAATATTTTATATGAATACGCATTTTAAGAGTCTGATGATTACGAGTTTTCCGATTTACTTCTGGACTGCTGCACAATTTATGCGATCTGACTGAAACAATGGATAGCGATTATAGATCTTGTGGCTACGCATCCTACCTTTTAGACCTTCTGGTAACATTACGCTTTCGATTTATCATAATTCTCTTTCACTTTTATGCGCTTTAAATTACTTTGATTAAAATTAAATTTATTTTATTTACAAATCTAAATCACAATTTTATTTTTCAGTTTATAGCCCGAATTTAGTCCCTACTCAGGCAGACTGCAAGGCTCAAACTCAGTCACTCTCAGACTCGAAAGATACAGGCCTGGTTTTCCTCCCTCCTCTCAGCCTTGACCGTAACTGAAAACATCTTCACAGTAAATAATCCATCCATCAGTTATTTATTTTGTCTGTTTTCGCATCGTTACTTTAAAGGATGGGAAGGGGTTGCAGTGTTTCTAAAGCTCTTTGCAGTTTAAATATGAATTTGAAATCTACAATTTACCAAACTAGTAAGATCGCGACAAATAGCACAGGCATTATTATTTTACCTCATTAATAGTAGGGCACAATGAGGACATACATTAGTCTGGAATTTCTACACTACTGTCAATAATTTGTGCCCAATTCCATAATCATTTTGATATACTTCGAAAACAATCAATACATTTAAACTTACTTTTTCTTTAAATTCCACGGAGTGGTGAGCAAATGCGTATTCTATCAACGAAGCTGTGACGAAAAACATACATGCGAGCAGCCAAATATCCACAGCTTTTACATAGTCCACTGGCGGAGTGTACGATCTAGACTGCAGCATTTGAGTGATGATGGTAAGAAGTGAGGTAACACCGAGTGTAACACGAGCGGGAACTGCATTCACATCTAACCAGAATGATAGCCAGGACAGAATTACTACTACAGTACTTGGCAAATAAACGTTGAGTACACTACCAGTTAATCGCCGAATGAATATAAATTTCGCATACAGATAACTGTAATTACCTGTAAACAAAAAGAATTATCTCTATAAAACTAATAATAATACAGTTTTATAAGTAATTTGTAACAAAACTTTCCAGTCGGCCAAACTTCGATTTTAGTACGAGGTTTGGGTACCATCATCTCGTGTTTCAATGGCTGTATGTCTTCCAATATATAAATACTCGGTCCCAAGTACTTACATGGACTATCGTCAACATCACACCATTCCAGGAGTACCTTTTCCGCTGTATTTTTTACTAAAAAATTGCATAATAGAGAGTAAATACCTTCAATACAGAACACAAATATGGAATTTTAAAAGTAAAATTTTATACTACAAATACATTATTATACTTATTTAGCTACATAATAGTTTACTGCGAGAAAAATTCTACTAAAAAATATTAAATTTGTTGACTTGATAAGTTTAAATATATAAATTCAAAATTATAATAAAATGTACAACTGAATTAAATTCATAACAATAACAGAATATAATACAGAAAATTTAGTATACATAAGCTTAGTTGTTTTAAAAATAATACTTGACTTTCTCATATCTTCAACTGAAATTTATAAAAATAAATTCAGGAATGAAAGTTGCAGGTTGAATGCAAGACATCTTCACACTGTACAATAAAATGGATTCCTGTTGTTTAGGGCAACATTAATGTTTATGTGTTAATCTCGAAAAATGTATGATTAACACGTAAATATTATACTATTAATGGACTCAAAAATATATAGTTTTTTATAATAAATACTTTGTAATTATTTAGCTTTAATGTATACTAATATAATAAATAGGTAATGTTTGTATGTTAGTTTGTATGAAGCAGGTAATCTCCAAAACTACTCATCCGATTTTAAAAATTCTTTCACCAATATTTAGAATGGAACCTCAGGGTGGACATAGGCTGTCGAATACATGTCGAAATTACCTTATTCGGAAGAGAGGGACAGGATTAAGGCTTACTGTGAAAAACTTGGCTTCTATTATACTATTTTAGATGCGGGTTTTTGCGTTTTTTATTGCGTTTTAATAGAGTACGTCAACAGAATGTACAGTAAGAAGGGATTTTTCGATATTCCCCCCGCGGGGGAGTGGGACAGGATTAAGGCTTACTGTGAAAAACTTGGCTTATATTATACTATTTTAGATGCGGGTTTTTGCGTTTTTTATTGAGTTTTAATAGGGTACGTCAAGAGAATGTACACTAAGAAGAAATTTTTCGAAAAATTTTTTTCCAGGGGAGAAGTGTTATACATTTATAATAGATACATTTTGAGCCACAACAAGGCGTGGCGGGGTCTGCTAGCAGCAAATAAAGGAATAGTACTGCTCGTATAATATATGCTTTTTTATATTTTTTAAAATACAGGTATACATCGCCTTACGTCGGTAATTGGTTCCAGGAAAACGACGTAAGTCGAAAAACGACGTAAGTCGAATTTACTTGTCTCCGAATTTATATATCACTAGGCTAAACCGTAAATTACCATTCCCGGTTCTGTATTTTATTTATTAAGGCATTTTTAATAATATATGGTTAATAAAAATCTATTTTAAGCTTACAAACAAATAAATTTTAGTTTTTAATATAGTACAAAAAAAAGTAATCTAAATTTACGAATGCATGTACTGTAAATACAGTACATACTTGTATATATTTTAATATGATTTTATGTGCTTTAAACGTTTATCTAGTGATATTACGACTTCAATATTTGTGGCGGACAGACGTAAAGTCGAATAAAATGACTTAAACTTGATTTTTATTTTTCCATATACTTTTTTAACAAGC